GAATCAAACTCACCGCAACAACGGACCATCTATTCTCCTCAAATCACAAAATACTACTCGAAACTATACCCCAAGAAATTGCCACCCTTCGCACCTAAGAACTTTCCAAATTAGGCCAAGTTGCGACCTTGAAAATGTACATCCTACCAAAAATCATGTACATCTTTCGCACACTCCCCATACCAGTTCCTAACACCTTTTTCTCCAAATTACAATCGATTCTCTCCAGATTTTTATGGAACTCTAAAAAACCTAGATGCACTACCAATCTCTTAATACACCCCATCTTCCAAAGGGGGCGCAGGCCTCCCACATTTAAAATCCTACTATAATGCCACTCTTCTGGACCAAATATATTTTTGGTGGAACCCAACCAGAGAAAAAATCTGGTCTACAATGGAAACCTTACCCTTCCCACTTAAACCCCAAAATTTACTTCTAATTCCACCAATGTCACAAACAAATTACCAATTAAAGCATCCATGTATCCAAACCGCCCTTCAAGCCTGGCGTGATCTTCTGACCATGGAATACACAGACCCCAAACAAATTCTCACCGCAATTGACATATTACACTCCATCACACCCTCAATGGAGCTATCACAATGGGAAAAACGAAACATACACAAAATAACAGACCTCTATAAAGACCACGCCCTACAACCATTTCAAAATCTCCAATCCACGTTCAATTTGCCTACCACTGAATTCTTCACCTATTTAAGAATTGTCCACTGTATGCGAAAAAAAGAATATACCTCACACCACAAAAATCCCTAATACTGCCTACCTTTTCTTTAGCAAACCACAATACCCAGGTAAAAGCATCTCCACTTTCTACAAATACATAATGAACCTGCAATTTGCTCTAAAATCTACTTCTCTATCCAACTGGGAAAAAACTCTTTCATAAACAATCACAACACACACATGGAGCACAGCATTTAATACCACTTACAAATCATCCCGCTGCAGCTCGCACTGGCAATCATATTTAAAAAATCCTCCACCAATGGTACCTAACCCTGGTCAAACTAGTCATGTATTACCCAAAACATTCCTCCTCTTGCTGACGACAATGCGGAGACTGAGGCTCAACACTACACATATTATGGTCATGCAAATCATTTAAATCCTTTTGGAAAAGTGTCTTCCAACTAATCTCTGAAATAACCCAAACAGTGATAACCCCAAACCCTTCACTCGCGCTTTTACACATTGGGATTGAAATACCATCATTGTCCACATACTTTTTGCAGCAAAAATCACTCTAACCAGATTATGGAACACCACTACTGCCCCTTCTCTCAAATCACTAATTACAGATCTTAATTTCCAATGTGAAATGGAAAAAAGATCAGCCTTCAACAACTCCACCCAATACAAATTTAATTCCCAATGGACTAGCTGGTTACAACATCCTAATTGCTCAATACAAGCCTGATTTCGTACAAATAATTGAACTACCCACCCATTTTAGACTGGTACTCCTCTCTCCACCCCATTACAATTTCCCCCTCCTATCTCTACCCTCTTCCTTATCCCCTCATGTTTAACCCCCCTTTACCAATTCCTACACCTCACCAAGGTTCAATATATATCCAAGTCTACCTCTGATGCTATTACCTTACTCCTTTGTTTGACCCCAGCCAAATGGTGGGGTAAACCTGTTCCAATACTGTATTGTATGACTGCAATTTTTACTGAACTGAACGTCATTATTACGTTACTTTGTTATATTTAAAAATATATTGAAATACATGCATCCAATCCAGACTTTAAGCAGCTGTGCAGTCACTCGATGTGCAGACATGTTCTACCACTGACATCATTAGGCAGCTGGTCCTAAGCAATGATATGCAGTCGTATGTATGTATACCGGAAATGGCTGCAAGGAGGCTGAAGAAAATCAACAGCACTGAGATGTGAGAAAATATGAGAAAAAAGGTGCAAGCAATCTTAAAAAAAAAAACAGGACAGTGATAAACACTGCTTCAGAAAACTACTTTAAGTAGCCTCATATAGACTTGTCATTATCTATCTGTACATCTTTTTGAAAAGAATTAAAAAAATATTCAACAAGACAAAGTGTTTAATTCTTTAAAAGCATAGTCAATACCTGTTGTTTATTGCTCCTAATGATGTTAAGTGATAGATAGAAACACTTCTTTAACTCTACATTCCCATGATTTTAGTAATGACATTGTGATTCTGTCAAATATCATCCTTGACCACAGTAGTCTGGGCAAACAGATTTCCAGGTGATCATAGTGTAGCTCTAACACGTTAGGATACTTCAGTGAGCAATTTTGTTCAGTGAAAAAATATCCAGTATCCATGGCAACTGATTCCTGTTAATTCAGACAGCGACAGTTATTGTAAAGATTAAGATATAAAAAAAAAAAAAAGCCAAGCACTCTTCATTTATGTGCCATGAGGGTCTGCATTAACTGATAACTGAACATATTATGCCTGGAACAGAGAAGTGGCAATTATTTCCAAGAATTGGTAAAAAAAAGGTTTGATCTGCTTTTCTAGGTGCTGAATTTCTGAAAGTGACCCTATCATTAACACGCATGAATGAGCAGAGCAAATTGCAGCATTGTCAATCATCATATTATTTTGATTTAAAAAAAAAGTACTTATTTTATGCTATGAAGAACACATGCTGCTCCTGAGTTCCTATATGTGACCTAAAACCCATGCAAAGATCATATGGCGAACATTCAAGGAAACCCTATCTGGTAATTTTGCAGTAACATAAAGCTTGCCATACAATGTACAAATTTCTGTCAGTCCCTGATAAACTGGCTGATATTCACTCAATGGGTGGCCCTTTTGGCCCAAAATACAATATTGCAGCAAGATTTTTTCCATTTGCCCTGTATAAAAGTCTAAATGTGAATGGCCAGACTAAGAGAATCACCAAGCCACAACATGCAGAGCCTGTAATAGGCAAATATGGCTGCCTTGCCCCATGTATAGTAAATCCAGAATATTTTTACAATACAGCTTCGTCCATCTGCCCTGAGGACCAGGTTTTTTCTGGAACTTTTTGTTTATATGTAACAAACAATTTTTTTGCTAGAAAATTACTTAGAACCCCAAACATTATATATTTTTAAAGCAGAGGCCCTGGAGAATACATTGGTGGGTTTTGCAATTTTTTTTATGTCATGTCACACGTTTTTTTTCAAAAAGAGTTTTTGAGGCAAAAGTACACTTTTTTTTTAATTTTAATGCAAAAAAACACAATATATAACCCTTTTTTTTTGTAAAATATGAAAGATGATGTCATGCAGAGTAAATAGATACCAAACATGTTACACTTTAAAATTTTGCACCCCCGTGCAACAACGACAAATGACATAAGTTTTACAATCCATAGGCGATGATTTAAAAGCCTTTACAGGTTACCACTTTAAGATTACAGAGGAGGGCTGGTGCTAGAATTACTGCCCATGATTTGACATTCATAATGATTCTTCACACCAAGATCATTGTGATTGAATGCTTGTATTTTTTTAAAAATGGTGCTGACTGTTTCCGAGGAAACTGGAAGTGATCTCAGGTCATGGCTTCCAGTTTACTATTTAACGAAGCTGAACAAAACTGATTCGGTCTTTGTTAGACTCAGTGACTAGCCAGTGGCAGACTTCCATTGGGATGGGAGATTCTATTAAAGCAACAGAAGGCAACATGAGGGGGGGTATCTTCTTAAAGCAATCGAGTGGCTACTTACAAGAAAGCCAACAATCAGCTGTAAATAGTGGTACCAAGATGATGGCATCATCCCAGAACAACCACTTGAAAACCGATGACGTGCCAGGTATGTGACTGGTTGGCAAGTGGTTAAAAGTCTAAATGTGAATGGTCAGTCTAAGAGTAAACCACAACATTGAGCAGCACTAGTAATCAGAAAGAGCAGCCTGCATCTGTAATAGGCAAATAAGGCTGCCCCATGTACATACTGCAGAATTTTACAATGGAGTAATATTGTACTTAGCTCCATTCCACCAATTATGCATTGCAGTTGAAATGTTGAGAATTGTCAACTGTGGTTTTTAATGTGTATTCTCGAGCATATGTTTCTTTCTGTAGGTTATTTCTAAACTCTTTTTATATATCCAGGACCCAACAGTAGCCATGGGCTTTGAACTACAGGTTGGCTCAGAGAAAGCAAAAGAGTGAACTGTTCAAAAAATGTATGTGTAAAGTAAGAGGTTTACATATGAGAGTTCTAAGTTAGCATCTGCTTTAAGACCACCTCTAGCCATTTTTTTGCAGGAAAAATAGATTACTTGTGTCATGTTTTTATTTGCATCGGTGAGCTCTTTTGGTAAATATTTCCCCACTTCCTGTCTATGTGGTGCCCCTAAAAGAAATTAGGAGGTGGGATGCAGTAATCACCCAGAAAGGAAACCATGGTCATCAATACTAACATGGTCGGAAGTTCTAAGCTATCCTTACTCTACTAAAATGTGTTTTCCTAGCAGCATATTGCAGTACATGGCAACATATGATATGTTGGGGTTCTACACGTTCTGGAGAGCATAATATTGACTACATTCCTGCTCTCTGTCCTTCTACAGTTATAGCTATATCTGACTTATATATCTGGCTTTGCCTTCACCTATCCCGCCTTTTGGTAAAACTGCCCATACAGACTTCCCTACTGCTATACTGTAAGATAAATGATTCACGTAAGTAGTGAAAGGTAAAAAAGGGCACTGATCAAACATTTCTGTTCTGTTGACAGCCCTGTGAGGGATGATCATGATCTTCTTTACAGTGTCATAGTTCCTCCTTTTCTAGACATCGCACACATCTACCCAGAAAGTATTGCTGGGTTTGTGCTGATCATGCACTCCCAGAAAAATGAGTGTGCTAAGCATGCTACACTATATAGCCAAAAGTATTGGGACACCCCACCCAAATCATTGGTATCAGGTGTTCCAATCACCTCCATGGCCACAGAAGTAGAAAACAAGAACCTAGGCATGTAGACTGCTTCTACAAACATTGGTAAAAGAATGGATCGCTGTCAGGAGCTCACTGAATTTCCGCGTGGTACAGTGATAGGTTGTCACCTGTGCAATAAGTTCATCTGAGAAATTTCCTTGCTACTAAATATTCCATGGTCAACTGTTAGTGGTATTATAACAAAGTGGAAGCAACTGGGAACAACAGCAACTCAGCCACGAAGTGGTAGGCCATGTAAAATGACAGAGCAGAGTCAGCACATGCCGAAGCGCACAGTGTGTAGAAGTCGCCAACTGTCTGCAGAGTCAATAGCTAAAGACCACCAAACTTCATGTGGCCTTCAGAATAGCACAACAGTGAGTAGAGAGATTCATGGAATGGGTTTCCATGACCGAGCAGCTGCATCCAAGCCTTACATCACCAAGTACAATGCAAAGCGTCGGATACAGTGGTGTAAAGCACACCGCCACTGGACTCTTGAGCAGTGGAGACGTGTTCTCTAGAATGACGAATCACGCTTTTCTGTCTGGCAATCCGATGGACATGTCTGGGTTTGGTGGTTGCCAGGAGAACGGTACTTGCCTGACTGCATTGTGCCAAATGTAAAGTTTGGTGGAGGGGGGATTATGGTGTGAGGTTGTTTTTCAGGCGTTGGGTTTGGCCCCTTAGTTCCAGTGAAGGGAACCCTTAAGGCGTCAGCATATCAAGACATTTTGGACACTTCCATGCTCCCAACTTTGTGGGAGCAATTTGGAGATGACTCCTTCCTGTTCCAACATGACTGCACACCAGAGAACAAAGTAAGGTCCATAAAGACATGGGTGAGCAAGTTTGGGGTGGAGGAACTTGACTAGCCTGCACAGAGTTCTGAACTCAACCCGATTGAACACCTTTGGGATGAATTAGAGTGGAGACTGCGACCCAGGCCTTCTCGTCCGACATCAGTGCCTGACTTTACAAATGCGCTTCTAGAAGAATAGTCAAACATTCCCATAGACACACTCCTAAACCTTGTGGACAGTCTTCCCAGAAGAGTTGAAGCTGTTAAAGCTGCAAACTGTGAGTCAACTCAATATTAAACCCTACGGAGTAAGACTGGGATGTCATTAAAGTTCATGTGCGTGTAAAGGCAAGCTTCCCATTACCTTTGGCAATATAGTGTATATACATTCAAAGCCTCAAACCTGCACATAGATTTCCCAGCTCAAAGGACAAGCACCAACTGACTGAGAATGACCATCACAGGAGCAGGTCAACTGAGCAGTTAACCCTTTACACTCACAGTAGCCACTACCATGCACCATTCATAGCATGCACTGTTGCAATTTCTGACCTTTAACAAATGTCTGTATCACTAACTGCCATCTCTAGAGAGGTATTTAACAGAGTTTACACTCTGGTAGTGTCTTCACAGAAGCAAAGTTCTTTAACCACTTGACCTTCAGAAGGTTTTACCCCCTTCATGGCCAAGGCATTTGTGCAATTTAGCACTGTGCTATTTTAACTGGCAATTGCGTGGCATGCAATACTGTTCCCAAATGAAATTTATATAATTTTTTTCGCACAAATAGGGATTTCTTATGTTGGAATTTGATCACCACTATTTTGTTTTATTGTTTAATATATAAATGAAAAAATACTGAAAATGTTGTAAAAGAATAATATTTTCTACTTTCTGTTATAAAACATCTCCAATAAAAAAATAAAAAAATACAATTTCTTCATATGTTTAGGTCAAATATATATTCTGCTACATTTTGGTTAAAAAATCCCAATAAAAGTATATTAATTGGTTTGTGTGAAAGTTATAGAATCTACAAACTATGATATAAATGTGTGAAAATTGATCAATCCTGATGTACTGACTGCCTATCCCATTTCTTGAGGCCCTAAAAGGCCAGGACAGTAAAAAGAGGGTCCACAGCTACTCATGCAGCTGTCTTTTCTTGTCTCTGGAAAAGGTGTTGCAGAGCTAACCTCAACTAGTCAAAAGGTCTTAGGGGTGTGTTTTAGGTGTGCATGAGTGTTTTATTATGCCCAGCAGGAATACCAGTAATGCCTACTATCCTGTATAAATCTGTATTTGCATATGGCAAGGTTTCACATTTGTCATACCAGCATATTGTAAAAAAAAAAACAGCATATTGCTAATTAGGATGAAATTACAATTTGCCAGACACCAAATATGGTCTGTGATATATTTTTCTCTCAGGTCTAATATGTCTTTTTATTGACCTTCTAATATAGGCGCATTTAATGTCTAACTGGGTGGTATCTTCTTCTACATTAATATAGCCATTGTTTAGGAGGGTAACTCTGTTACAGCAGGAGTTATTCAATATGAATGAAAGTTGAAAGTCTAAGATGTATGAGAGTTTGGCTATAGGTCAATATAGGTCACTATCCTAGTCTCATTCTCACTCTTATTCCCTAAACTGCACTCCAGACCATTTACAACCTGACCATAGGCAACCATACAGCAACTGCTCATTAGATGTACTCTGAAGACCCTGGATAAATGAGGTTTATCAAAGATCCATTATCTCCTGCTCTCAAGGACTCAGATCAAACAGGCGTTAGTGACAAGTATATTCATCCACTGGTGATCAGAGGTTGTGCAGCTCTATCATGAAGCTGGGGAAGCTTAATAAAACTGTAGAGGAAGATGAAAGAAAGAGCGCACAAACCTTGCGCATTACCTCAATAAATAGTGACTAATTTTATTAATAAGGATATATACTCACAAAATGATTGTATAACAGGCATAAGTAACCATAATCCAAACAGGCTGAACTGCTGTAATACTGACACTCAGTGGCTGAATATCTCCTTGCCATGGGAACTCTGCCATACTGAAGTCTCTATCTGCCAAACCCAGCTCTGATGAAGAAGGGAGCACCCTTCGAAACACGTTAGCCTTCATACCCCCCCTTTTTGATTTACCTGTAACCCTGTTTGGATTATGGTTACTTATGCCTGTTATACAATCATTTTGTGAGTATATTTCCTTATTAATAAAATTAGTCACTATTTATTGAGGTAATGAGCAAGGTTTGTGCGCTCTTTCTTTCATCTTCCTCTATGAGGTTTATAACATCAGGGCATTCCTTCTAACCTGCTTGCTTTTTGTCAAACTTCCCCTCTACATGATCTCGATACACTGCATGAATTTTAGGACCTATTTGTTTCTGTTCTTAAGAAAAAAGCTGTATGTTCTACTATATACTTGGAAGACTGAATTTTGAATGAGAGTGTCTGTGTTCATTCTAATCAGCTGATGCACTTTTAAAAGTTGTAGTGTCTGCATTTTTTGGAAGGAGTTAACAATTAGGCAGTATCTCGCCAAAATATAATTCCTGTTGATGAGGATGCCTAAAATTTGAAGAAAAAAAAAAATCAGTGAGCCAATCCACAAGCAGGAAATGACATTTGTGGGGAAGTTCTGTACACCAAGTGTGTACAGAACCCCTCCATGTTGCTATATTGCATTGCATTTTACAGAAAATTACAGCAGCTGCAGATTGAAAAGGAAAGATAATTTTTAATTACATTAAATTACAATATGGCTTGCGTAGCACCTGAATATGCTACATTTTTTTTTGCTGTTTTTTTTTAGTTGAAAGTAGAGTTGCCTTTAAGCATGGCTGCTTAAAGTGGAAGATAAGGTTTATACTAACTATTCCTAAAAATATCTCACCTACTACCTATTCTGCATACCATGTAAAAAGATCTGTGCACTTACCTATTTTTAATCTGCTCCTGTCTGGTCTTGTGTTCTAGCAACTTGGCTCCCCTGTGCCAGTGATACTGGGGGGAGGAGGGAGGGTTGACAACGACTGGGCCTATGGATGTAATCACAGACGATGTCCCATTTTTAAAATAGTATTAATATTAAGATAGTATTAGCATTTACTGCCACCTTAAGCGTAGACAAGAGATTTTAATCTGACCATCTGACTTGTTACCATGAAAAAAAAGAGGGGTGAAGTTTAGTTTGGTACCACTCTCTCATTCTCTCCACACAGTTTGAGGCTTGTCAGATCTAACCATCATCACAAAGGTGACAAAAGAAACAGACATAGACTCAAGGTAAGTGGCATCCTTAATTTAACAGCCAATTTGGGAACCTCTGCAAAACATTTCTACACAGCAACCCAACATATTGAGCCCAGGAACTGCACAACAGCAGCATTCTCCAGTAATAAAACTGGCCAAATCAAACTCCAATACTTCAGAGGAAAAGGATGGACGTCTTTCAGGATTTGATTTTGTACTGTAACCATCTTAAAGTGCTGTAAAAGAGACCATTACCAGGGAAGAGACCAAAGTCTTTTCCATACCTAAAAAAGGAACAATTAACATATGCTTACATATTAGAAATTAAGGAATTAATGCCAAAAGAATGACAAAAAGGGGGAAAATACTTGCGCCAATATTAGGCTGGGTAAAGGTGTATCCCCTCCCCTGAAAGGAAAACTAAAACCAAAGCTTTTTTTTTTGTCAGCAACATTAGTAGATGCCTCATTGATAAGTCCCTCTCTCTCTCTCTTTCTCTCTCTCAGGGCATCTGACTCTTCTGCCAAAAGATTGAGTAACATTCCGCATTGCCTTGAATTAAAAGATTGACACTGGGAGCCTTCAGGCCAGCCATAGCCTTAGTGTTAGTCACCAGAGCAATTGCTCGTTGGACTGGGAACATTGAAAAAAGTGCTTCTAGAGAATGTGGAGCATGAAAGAATTGTAAAACTCTACAAAAGCTAAAGTAAGAAAGCAAATTCACTGGGAAAGCCTCAATTGATATTATCAGAACTATATTCTATCATAACAACTGGTATAGTTGATCCATCAGCACCACATCCCTATTTCGTTAATACAAAGAAAAAGAAAGAAAAGGACATATGGGACTTTTAAGGTGCTCCAGTACACTCTGAAGAAAAAATACTCAAACATACATGTATGGAAAAATATATAAAATTTTATTACAAAATGTAAAACACAAAGTTCGTTACCCCTACCATAACAACAACTTGCAGTAGCATGAACCCTTCAGTACAGTGAACCCCAATCAACCAGAAAATGGTTCAGTAATACAACTTACTATTAGATATGGACAAAATTACACATTTTTTGAAAATAACTAAATGGAGTTCAATGTTTCCAGATCCAGCCCAATGTTGCAGTTTCTTCAAACAGGCTTTAACATGTTCAATTATCTGCAATCTCAGCCCTTATTAATAACAAATCAAGACACGCCTTTAGATGTACAGTTCCTTTAAGTGTATTTCCAATTGTACAGTCACAATTGAGAAAACCCCATTATGTTTGTTATGTGTGTTCTTATTTACAAAGCATACCAATTTTTTTTTCTATGATTCCTACCTTTTACATGTTTCTCAGAAAAAGGCCTTATGGCCGCATGTCAAAATAAGGATAGACTCCTCCCATTAATATACATTGCAAGAAGTCAAGTTTCCAAACC